GCGAAATTCAAAACAAACAAACAACAAAAAATTTGAAAGACAACAAAAGTACCTTTTATCTCAAGTGCTGATATAGTGGATGACATTTGGTTGTTGTTGCTCTGAATAGCACTTGTTTGGCTACAAGCCTTTGCATTGTAGTAATGTTGCTCAAATGAAGCCAAAAACGCAGGGTATCACAAGGTGTTAGTTTAACTGCTCCTGTTGCTATTCTCATGGCTGCTTACTGCACCTCTGTAACTTGGTTACTGAATTTGTCGCGGATGTACACAAGAGGATTCCATACTATATTATGTTTATGGCTATTGATCTCCTCAGATGGATGAGGTTCCTCTGCGGCATATTTGAGAAGAGTAAGATTTTTGACTGATTTCGCTTTCAGACAATCAGTATAGTAAGACTATCATTCTGTGATTGATTGTAACACCCAGTAAATTGACAGAGTTTATATGGAGCTGTTCTATCTATGCCAGCATGGAGAGAGGTGTCTGTGCCAATATCCAGCAGGATTTGTCTGGTTGGATATACATTTTGTTACCTACAGTCTACTAGAAAAGGCCTTTTCTCACTTCTTGTATATCTTTCACCATCCGTATCGACGTGTATAAGATACTTGCTACAATTACATAGTCAACATATGTATATTGTGCCACTCTTGAGTCTTTCAGTGCATATACCTAATCAGTTGTATATACAGAGGACACGATTCATCGTGATCATTGCAACAAACCAGAGCTGATTTCAAACAATTTCAGACCTCCATTTACCAAATTTCAACTTAAATTTCCTGGTGTTCATTAAAATTAATATCCATCGCATGATAACACCAAAGACTCCCGGAGATTCTAGCTACGTTGCCAAAATGTCAATATTCACTCTACTATAGACATCTTCAAGATCAAATAGCAACAACACAGTGCCGTGATGTCTGCACACACCACTGAATGCTGCGTGTGACTGCCTCGACATTTCTTTATCCTTGCCCTTCTCACCTTGGTAACAGACAACCTCCCTCCTCTAGGTATTGCACAATCATTTTTTGCTACCTTTCCACGACTTTTACTAATATTTCACATTATTATTAGTTTTCAGTGTGTGAAGGTTTGGGCAACACTGTCGTTGATCAGTCTCTGACGTCTTTCTCCGTTTTACCCTCCATCATTGACAAATTGATTATTTCATCTAGCTCTGCTTTCGAGTCTCTCATACCAGCTGGATCTGGTGCAGAATCCCTCTTTGTTATTCGAAGAATTTTCTCGACTTCATTCACTATCACTGGCGTTTCTTACCGTAGGTCAGTTCCCCGTTGAATCTTGTCATTTACTTTGTGTTATGCCCGACTCACAGAGATCTATCCGTTTTATTGTTGGCTCATATACCTCTCTAAGAAGGAGAATATTTTTATTCATCAGTTCTAAGACATTCTCTGTTCAGCCCTTTTAACTTCTGTGGTCTTACCACACATACACCTGATACTCTTTTCCCAATTTTTGTTAGTTTCAAAAACTGGTTTCGTATACTGGAGTCTGCTGGATCACAATGCTGATAGAAATTGTCTCACATTGCTTGCCTACTTCTCTTTTCGCCGGAATCCAGCTTTAGTGAATTCTACTATTTTCTGCTTAATCTCATTTTCCACTTTATTACACCTTAGTCTCAGTGTAGGCTTTATTAGCCCCAATCCTCTCTCTACCGGGCTTGTTCCACTTTTACTGTTTTCCATTAGGATTTATTGTAATTACCACATTTACTCCTCCGACTCATTCCTTAATTCCTCACCTCACTATTGCATTTATCCACGATGACTTAGATACTGTTCTTATTGAAATAATGCAGTCTGAGTAGGTTTTTCTTGGCTTTGTGCATGAGTATGGGCTCGTGGTAGCTTACTATTAAAGGCAATAGTTTGATGATGTAATCCTTGTTATTCCGAAACATTTAATAAAAATGTTTTGTGCCCTTACGATCGTATTTTGTTTTATGTTAAGGTAATAGCTACAGTTCCAACTCAAGAAATGCAACAAGTGTAATGAGGGTATGGTATATGGTTAAGTGGGCGTGGCATGGCATGGTCTGGTGGTTAGGGCGCGCGACTTGCAATCTGCGGGTCGCAGGTTCGACACCTGTCACCGAACATGTTCACTCTTTCAGCCGTGGGGGCAATAAAATGCGTAGGTGAATCCCATTTTTCGTTGATAAAGAGTAGCCAAATAGTTGGCGGTGGTTGGTACTGACTAGACTACCATCCCTCTAGTCTATAATTTTTAAATGAGAGTCGGCTAGCACAGATAGCCCTCGAGCAGATTTGCGCGAAACTAAACAAACAAACAATAGGGTTAAGTCAGAGTCTCACTCTCTCTTTCTTATTGCTATTACTGCGAGGACATCTTCATTGGCTAGGATACAGTCCATGTCTTGAAGTGCCTCCTTCAATGATCTCCCGTTCACATTTCGGCCACTGTCCAGTCAGATAGGACTGGGCATTAAAATCACTTGTAATGACGACTCTTATGCCCATATTCACAAAAGGATTCATTACATTAGTCCATTTATTTTCCAATGTCATAATTGTCACTGGAGTTATACAAGTTGACCAGGATGTATTCCAGTTGACTACCAAAATCTCGCTGTCATAATTAACTTAGCACAACAGGAATATATTATTTTTTGCTAAACATCTTCGAAAAGATTCACACCTTGATCCTATTATTATTCGTAAAAACACGATTTTTGATTTCTAGTTCTAAGTTGTTTAAGTAATTTCGCAGCAAAGTTTTTAATTATTTTGATGAAGAAAAACGCGAAACAGTCACGAGTACCATTTGCTTCAGTTTTAAAGCCGGTGGCCATCGTTAAATACCTGTTTCATCAGCAAAACACAATCCAAAGCTTTTATGCATGCCATACAAATATATGCCTTATTAAAACAGATATCATGACTGATCCTTTCAAATTTCAAAGTATTTATGTATTAAAACAACAATAAGGTTTAATTCTTCAACATAACCTCTGGCTTTGCTTCCCTTTCTTTGTGCTCGGCCTTTAAAGATACGTTCCTCGACTTCTGTAACACATGTAGGATAAAGACAGGAATAACAATCTAAAAACGTAATGATACAGAAATAATCACATAATAGCCTCCCGGTGGCTTAGTGGTAAGCCTGCGGACTTATAAAGTTAAAAAGTGGGTTTTGATACTCGTGGTGGGCACAGCACAGGTAGCCCATTGTGTAGCTTTGTGCTTAATAATAACCAAAGTATACACTATTCAGTAAATTGAAGAAGTTTAATTGATAAACGCCGAATGACTGTAGTAAACTACTGAATAATTTTTAAAACCATACACAGTACTCCTATTGGACGGGTGTACTTAAGCATACACCTTACAGGTGCATGTGCCGAGTGTATTTTATTTAACAATAATCTACCGTTCGTACAATCTACGGAGGTCAGTGATCTTTCAAAATGTTCTATATTTTTTTTTATATTAAGTACAGCACACAATCCGGTTTCCTACGGTCTGAGAGGAATGAAGCTTCGGACATGGTCTACTTTTTATCATCATCACACACATTCTCAACATTAAAATGCACTGTGAACCAGTTCCGTCAATTCCCCGAAATCTGATACATTTGCTATTCAATATAATGGCGTATATGTGTGTGTATAAATATATATATGTTTAAGAAATCGTACACCCTCTTTACAAATGTAAAGAGAACACTGATATAAGGAAGTACGTTTGAATAAAAATATAAAATTGGATAATATGAAGCAAAAACAGATCTGCTCCAATATCACCATGCGCATATAAGTATCATTACCAATAATCTATGGAAAGTAACGTTGAAACCTTCGTTAATGACCGAATATTTATTTATTCATTATATTAAAAAGAAAAACATTTAGCGCCAATTTAGTGATATTCTACCATATTTGATTTACACAAACACGCAAAAACATGATAAACCGTAACTATAAAAGAGGCTGAAAAACAACAACAAAAATATAAAACAAACAGTGACAACAATATCAAACGACATTTAAAAAATAGTCACAACCAATATCTAACTACACTTAAAACATTTACAACTAATATCACACTATACTCAAAACAGTTACTACCAACATCACATTACACTCAATACAGTCACAACTAATGTCACATTATAACTAAAACAGTCACAACCAATATTACACTAAAATCAAAACATTTACAACCAATATCACACTACACTCAAAACAGTAACAACCAATACCAAACAATAATTAAAACAGTCACAAACAATATTACACTATAATCAAAATTTTTACAACCAATATCACACTATACTCAAAACAGTCACAAACAACGTCACACTATAATCAAAACAGTCACAGCCAATATTACACTACATTCAAAACAGTCACAACCAATATTACACTATAATCAAAATTTTTACAACCAATATCACACTATAATCAAAACAGTCACAACCAATAGTACACTACACTCAAAACAGTCACAACCAATATCACATGATAATCAAAACATTTACAAGTAATATCATACTACACTCAAAACAGTCACAACCAATATCGTACTATAATCAAAACAGTCACAACCAACATCACACAATACTTTCGAAAGTCACAATCAACATTACACTACAACTAAAATAGATTTGTCTTTAGAGAAACTACTCCCATACAAATATGCATGAATGTTTTGTCGTACGTCCCACAAGAACTGTGGATTTTCTACCTTCATTACTAATGTGTGTAGAGTCAACATAAACAAGTCGATTACGTTTTTCAGTATAAAAATTAATATCACCGACAAGACGGCTGAAGTTTTAAAACAATTACATTTATAATGTTTTTTTTTTTGAGGTACAGTTAGCAATTAATATGTACCTGAACTTTATACTGGACATTTTAGACAAAGAAGTCAAACGTACTAACAAATTTGTCTATTTTATTCATAATCAATTACTCTGCATATATATATTTATTCACACAGATATAGAGTTCGGGTTGGTCCTGTCTTAGAGCTCTGAATTTTAGGCCTATCGAGCTGGGTTCGAATCCTTGCGATAACACAAAATACTCCCCGCACTTTAAGTTGCAAGTCTGTTATAGGAGTTACAGTCAATCCTTTAGCATGGATGGTGGGCGGTAGGGTACCGCTTACTAGCTAGCTGCCTTTGCCCTGGTTAATAGTTGAAAATTACGGACGCCCCCAATTATGCCTCAGTGGCTATGCCATACATAGGTAGTGATCATTTAAATACATTCGCATTGGTGACGGTCAGTAAAGCAACCACAATCGAATTTAATTAAGTACTACATTTGTTTCTTTATTAAACAGTTCCCCCTTAACAAGATAGAAAGTAGACTGACTTTAGTTATGAAAGTAATAAAAAACTATGAATATCAGTAAGAAAAAGGTTAAATTATGATGTATTCCAATCTCTCTAAATTATATCCTCGACAAAAGATTATTATAATACCATATCTTAGAAGTAAGGAAACCAAACTTGTTGTTCAATAAAGATATTATGATACCTCACTGAGTTTGACCTTTTCATCACTGATTTGTTTGACACAAAAGTTTTGGCTAATCACGTAGTGTGATAAATACTGCCATAAAGATCTAATTCAAAAGACATTTGCATATATTGTTAAACTGTATTTACAACTATCAATTAGTTAATAAAAATGTATATAATATTTTATAAAAGAATTGTACAAATATATTTCAAATAAAATCTGGAAGAAATTTAATCTCTTAAGACAAAACTTTATCTAGTAAATTATTGTCGAATATCGTAAGAATTCATCTGCCTTATACCTTCTAGTTAACACTTAATGTCTCTACAATCTAAGTCTAGAATAAATACTATGAATTCATAACTTAGTTGATTAAAACCCTATACAACGAATGTGAACCCTTGTTTCATAAAATGGTTACTTATTAATTAAACTCTAAAGGTTTATGATTTTGCTACAGAACTTCAGGTCATGTTTATTTGAGATTTTCTAGTAATCGGAATTTATGATGGTGTTACAAATCTTCAGACTAGAGTTTGGAGAAATCACAATTAACTTAAGTTTATCATGGTGTTACAAATCTTCAGACTATATTTTGTAGCAATCAGAGTTGATTTAAGTTTATCATGGTGTTACAAATCTTCAGACTATATTTTGTAGCAATCAGAGTTAATTTAAGTTTATCATGGTGTTACAAATCTTCAGACTATATTTTATAGCAATCAGAATTAACTTAAGTTTATCATGGTATTACAAATCTTCAGACTATATTTTGTAGAAATCAGAATTAAGTTTATCATGGTGTTACAAATATTCAGACTATATTTTGTAGAAATCAGAATTAAGTTTATCATGGTGTTACAAATCTTCAGACTATATTTTATAACAATCAGAATTAACTTAAGTTTATCATGGTGTTACAAATCTTCAGACTATATTTTGTAGAAATCAGAATTAAGTTTATCATGGTGTTACAAATCTTCAAACTATATTTTATAGCAATCAGAGTTAATTTAAGTTTATCATGGTGTTACAAACGTTCAGGTTATATTTTCTAGTAACCAGTAAGTTAATCGAACTTAGAATGATATCACAGATTTTCATATCACATTTTCTATTAATAAATCAGTTAATTGAAAATTATAATGTATTATAGATATTTAGGAGAAATTACTAACAATGAATCAGTTAATTGAAGTTTATCATATTGCCACAGATCTTCAAATAAAATAATTTTGTGAGCAATCTACTTATTACAATATGCTTGTTTCTCTCTCCATCTATCTATCACAAGTCACGCATTTTATAATTAATAAAACGGATAACTAGTTAATTTCCTAAACTATGAACCTACAGATGAAAATAAAAAATATCCTTACACACAATATCCAGTCATTGGGTAGGTGATTGACGATGTGAAGTGTAATATAGAATCTATTTCTTCAAGCTCCATTTAAACCACAAAACTTTCCACATTAGCAGCGAGGTGAAGTACACATGTCTCGTAAACAACGAGTGAAACTTAACACTAAGAACAGAATCATATACAGGTCCTTCCTTAGAGCGGAACACAAAGTAACTGATCTCCTTCACATACAGAGAGCTAAGAAAATTAAACAAACATTGGACTATTAAATCGGGTCAAATGCCTCACAAAAGTAGGTTACCAAGAAAAGCAATACCTATTACACAAGGGAAGAACGCTTTGTAACAATGTCCGTATTTTTTTTTTAATGAAAACTTAAAAGTTTGTATTTAACTTTATTGACTACATAAGGTAGATTATCGCTGATGGCTGTGGTTTTTGATAACAGGTCATTGGCAGAAGAGACACCTTTTTTTTGTTTCATATTTTTGTGGTGTGTTCAGTACAATCGCGGAGAAATATTTTTCATCTGTTCCATGTATGTCTAATGTAAAATACATTAGCCGTGAAGTAGAAATAAATAAACAAATGATAGTGGCTTATCCGATGTCTCGTAATCACACAGAGAGAATACTTTTATCTTTATCTTAAGATAGACAGATAGATAGTAGGGGAGTGAAGATGAGGATAAATAAATGACAGCTTCTTCTACCAATAGGAGTTAGTGAGCCTCCTTCCGTTCCTATTGGATCATTTTAATTAAGCGTATTTGTGTATATAATTGATTGAAAATGGAACTACTGACACTGCTATGTATAGAAGCTTCTCACCCCCCCCCCTTTTCCCCGTCCAGTCTCCCCAACCTGCGGGTCGCGAGTTCGAATCCCCGTCGCTGAACATGCTCACCCTTTCAGCCGTGGGGGCGTTATAAAGTTTCGGTCAATCCCACTATTCATTGGTAAAAGAGTAGCCCAAGAGTATGCGGTGAGTGGTGTTGACTCGCTGACTTCTCTCACTGCAAAATTAGGGACGGCTGGCGCAGACATCCCTCTTCTTGCTTTACGCGAAATTAAAACCAAAACCAAAAACAATCCCAATATCAGCCCGCTACGTTCATGTTAAGTTTGTTGAATTAATATTCATTAATAAGTAAAAATTAACGAGTGCAGCTAATGATGACTGTACTCGGCCAGTAAATCTCGTGAACTACAAAACATTCTGTTAAAAACTAGACAGGTGGATTAGGGATGTAGAGCGAGTCGAGTGCCCTAACCAAGACCCGCTAACCTTTTTATTGAGAATCATTCGGAAATTTGTATAATTCTACACATGGTCTATTTGCACTAGCAGTCCCTAATTTTAAACTGATAAACTAGAAGGAAGGCAACTAGTCAAAAGCACTCGCCACCAACTTTTGGACTACTCTAATCGAATAGTGGTATTTGTCTGTCACTCTTATAATGCACCTATGGACCCAAAGTGCAGACTGCGATATTGCGGCAACGGGATGTGAACGAAGAAAGCTCTCCGTCCAACAGCCCGACACGCTAGCCTCTGCGCCACGCCCAA